AATGGCAAAAGGCTGAAAGAAAGGCAAATACATTTAATATTTCTTTTTATTTTTTTTATCCTGTCATTAATACACCATCTACAAATTACCAGGGTTACTACCTACTACTGAGACTGCATTCTACCGTTTTCATTTTATGTTAGGATATTGAACAGTCTCCATTTTTCTAACGGCATAGAACCTTATATATTGGTTTACCTTTTCTTATCAGATTAGTAATGATTTATTTCACTGTTTATAGGTGGTTTATTTTGTTTTATTTTTAGCATGTCATTACTAAAAATTTATTTTATTTAAAAGTAGTTTTTAATGCCTTTCACCATTTCTGTTTTTTTCAGTCTATGGCATTCGACATTTCGTGCGTTAGGACACAGAAGCTGCATATTTAAAATAAATAAATAAATAAATAATAATAAAAAAAAAAAAATATATATATATATATATATACACACACATACATACACACACACACACACACACACAAGTTTTTATCAGGACAAATAAATATGATAAATAACATAACATCCTGTATTCCTAATGCTATAGGGCCCCTGTCCATATTTTTTTTTTTTTTTTTAAAAGCCCCCCCTTTTTTGCCATATGCATTAATAGAAAAAATGATTTACTCACCTTTTTTATCACCTCTCCACCTCCTACAACATCATGGAGGACACATGGCCTCCTCAGATGGTCTAATTCAATTCTCCTTAGAGCAGGACAGCTGATGCAAATTGCTTGACTTGTTCCTGTTCCTGCTCTCTGGGGAATGAGAGGTTCACCCACTGGAAGCTGGATCCTGGCCTTGGGTCCAGGGTGGGTGGAGACAGCAGAGACCCCGGCGCAGTTGCATCGCTGGAAGTGGGGTCTGCAGTGCTGATGGTGTCGGTTGGAGTGCTTGGAGTCCTCAGCGAGCACTAGGAGCATCGATTGGCGGAGGTACTCAGTCAGAGTGCCAGCGTTCCGTCACACCCTACCCTCCCCAGCAGTACCCCTACCCCCCCCCACACAGTACCCCTACCCCCCCATGCAGTACCCCTACTCTCCCCACACAGTACCCCTACCCCCCCCACACAGTACCCCTACCCCCAGCAGTACCCCTATCCTCCCCAGCAGTACCCCCCACCCCACACACAGCACCCCACACACACACACACAGCACACACACACACAGCACCCCCACACACACACACAGCACCCCCACACACACACACAGCACCCCCACACACACACACAGCACCCCACACACACACACAGCACCCCACACACACACACAGCACCCCCACACACACAGCACCCCCACACACAAACAGCACACACCCACACACACACACACACAGCACCCCCACACACACAGCACCCCCACACACACAAGCACCCCCCACACACACAGCACCCCCCACACACACAGCACCCACACACAGCACACACACACAGCACCCCCCACACACAGCACCACCCCCACACACAGCACCCCCCACACACACACACAGCACCCCACACACACACACAGCACCCTCCCACACACACAGCACGCTAACATACAACACTCACACACACGCACCCCCCACACAAGCACCCCCCCACACACAGCACCCCCCACCTCAATGCAGTATATGTGTATTCAGCAGTGTGTGTGTGTGCGCGTGTATTCAGCAGTCTGTGTGTGTTTGCGTGTATTCAGCAGTCTGTGTGTGTATGTATTGCATTTGTTGGAGATACTAATAAATATAAACTTAATTTTATCTATTTATATCATTATTTAAAATTTGTATCATTGAACTCTCTGTGTTCTTTTAAAACAAAAGTTATTAGTTCGGAAAACAGTACGAGTAGTTTTTTCTAAACTTAAACCTCAGTATTTGGATTTAATTGCCGTGTTGGCACTTTAAGGAGAAAAAAAGTTGGCATGTATTGCGGTTTGGGCACTCTGGCTCAAAAAGGTTCGCCATCACTGGTCTATACGAAATGGTGGCCACCCAGGGGAGCACTCATTAATTACTTCCGTTGCAGTTTCACACTTACGTTACCAGTGCGAACGTTGTGGTTTCACACCTATGTTGCGAATGCTAACGTTCTAATTAATTGGTGGGAGTGTTCTAATGGGGCACTGGGGTGGTCCTCGTTCGGGAGATGATCGAGTCGGGAAACAATCCACGAATGCTCCCCATGGCTGGCGTTCGTCTATACAAAATGGCGGCCACCTAGAGGAGCGCCCATTAATTGCTTCCCTTGAGGTTTCGCAATTATGTCCGAGGTGAGAACGTTCTACTGGAAAGTTCTAACCAGCGTTCTAAATGGGATATCGGGGTGGTCCCCGGTCAGGAGTCAAAGGAGTTCCTCTTGCATGAGCACTGCTGAACGGGGAGCGGGTACAATATACGAAACACAGGGGAAAAAAAACACACAATACCGGAGGGAAGCCCCCTGACAAGGAATGCTTCTGCCCCAGCCATCAAATGCTGCGCATAGAGAAGCATTGAATTCATATTCATTCAGCATATGATAGGACTAGCGCCGCACTCACTGCAGATGCGCTTCTAATATCCAACTCTTTTCATAAAGAAGCATTGCATTGGCTGAACACTGAATTGAGTTCTCTAAAAACTTAACTGTAAACCTGAAGCGAAAATATTCAAGCTATGACAATAGTAGAGATGGAGAATATTTCCAAATCAGCTATTTTTTCTTTCCTTAATTTTTACTATGGTTTCCGTAGACATCACAGAAGGTAAACATAAGCACAGGTAGTGCTTAGTGTCACACGAAGGGTCAAGTAATTCAGTAGTCTGTATCTCTTCTTCATGAAGCATCATGAAGATGCTTTACAGAAATGTTGCTGAAATTGAAGGAGACTCCATGATTGCTTAAAATATCCAACAGAATACCACATGTAAAGACAAAGAAACCAAAAACATAATCAAATTAAATCAAAGCATAAAAAATCTCTGAATAAGAGAGGTAAGAAGACATGGTATACCAGGATTTGCTAGTTTCCAATCCATTAATAACATTCATCTAGCCCGGAGGTTCCGATGCTCTCCATGCTTTGGCTATGCTTAATTGAGCGGCAATTAACCCCTTAATGACACAACTTTTGGAATAAAAGGGAATCATGATGGAATATTTCCGTCATGTGTCCTTAAGAGGTTAATATGTACAGAAGGAGTACATACACATCCAGTGGAACCTGCTCTCGGTGGAATAATAACAACAAGAATTCTGGTGTCTTAGGGATACCCATATTCACCACCTCTTCAGTGCATCAGATATTGCACTTGAAACCAAAAGTTTTGAATAGCTGAGCACTTCCACCAAATTTGCATTAGTGTCCTCTCCATATCATGCACCTCCAGCAGCCCGAAGAGACAGCTGGGTAGACCTTGTTCGCAGGCATGAAAAAGCAATGACTCAGCCTTATAAAGGTGTGTAACATCTTGGGAAAGTGCTCTCTCCTGTAATAGTTTTTACCATGATGCTTCCGTGGTGTTATAATGGCAGTGGAGTGTGTATTTGCTAGACGTGCACTCCCCTATCCATCCCCAATGCTGCCAAAATTCACCTGGAGGTCCGAATGTGGGGACAGAGAATTAAAAGCAAAAATACTTAAAGATTAATATAAACTGAAATTACATATTATACTTGTGCCCATAGGACTGAGATTAGGAATTTAATGCTCTGCTATTTAGCTCTTTTTAGACCATTATTTATTCAGTAATTCCAAACTTTAAATAGTATTGAAACAGATGTGTTATTTTTTTCCTATTGCATTGTGCTAATTTCTATAATTCATTAACGCACTATGATTAAATTAAAGAGTCAGTGTGAAGTCATTATGAATCTTTTCTAAAACAAATTAAACAAAGGAAACATAAAAAACAAAGGACAGAATATGAAAAGCACAACAGGATATTTAATTTCTTTAGCTCCTAGTGTCACGACGTAAAAACTGGGAATTCTGGGGGAACACACAGAAGCTGCATATTTCAAAAACATATATATATATATACACACACACACACAAATTTTTATCAAGACAAATAAATATGATAAATAACATAACATAATAGCTTTCCTCAGTATACATGACCTCTGGTATCTTGCAGAATGCAATTTACAGTGTGAAATTATTCTATGGTTACTTGCGCAATGGAAGGCCAGAAGTATATGATGAAAGAAAGGACCATACAAATAATTCTGTATGTTACAAATATATATCATCGCATCAAATACTGAGCAATGGCTCAGTAAAGTTATTCGTTTTAATAAAATTCTTCTTCAAGTTCAGTGGTAATGTATGGTTAGAATCAAATGCTCCTGCTGTTGTGAAATATTAGTTGTCATCAGATGTGGCAATTAAAAAAAAGAAGCAAAAGCCATTGAATATTAACTAGAACATCTGCAGTATTATTTAGGACAGGGGTCTCAAACTACCATTTGCAAGCCATTTGTTGACCCCTAATTGCCTTCTTGCAGCCCATGGGTGAAGTATCCAGCAAATAATTACCACACTATCCAGTCAGACACTGGACGTCTTGTTGGCCGATGTCTGGTGTTGGCAGCATGTAATGTGTGTGCACTAGCTGTATGTAACAATACTTCACTATTATTACCAATTACTTTTGTTATGTAGGATAAACTGAAATCCCATTTGTATGTTGTTCGATATACTGAAAGTAAAAGAGGCTAGTCATGAGGAGCCTTAAAGGGATAGCTGCCACTGCTATACTTTAGTAAAAGGTAAGTATATATAGCTGTTAAGAATGTTTTTATTAACGTTACTGTATGCGTACATGCATATATGCATATATGCATAATACTCTAAAGAATTAACGTAGAAATTGTTTAATTAAACCTTGTTCTCACTAACCTACCCACACCCATTTCCTTTCCTTTTTTTACACTGCAACACACACAGACCCACAAACACACTCTCAGACCCATACACTCCATAAACTCACACACTGACCCACATAAAGTACAGCCCCATTCCATGTTTCACATTACCAGTAGCCCTCATTGTCCAGTAGTCTAGCAGTCAGTTTCCCTTCTATTTTCTTCAGTCGCAGATTGACGGCCGCTAAGATATAATGCCGTGCTATATCCCGGTGGCCATAAGCGGCCCACAGCACGGCTAAAAAGAAAAGAAAAACTGCTTGCCCGGAACTGCATGTCCCTGGTGTTGGGCGATATAAATTCCACATCTCTGTGACTCATTGTTCCTTGAAAAAAATATTGTGAAAGTGGTGCGATTCTTTGTTCACTGTAAAAGTATTGTCAATAAATGTGCTGCTTTTAGTGGATGTATGGTTACCCAATAGAAGTGCCGCAATAGACATTTTGTTGTTTTCTGGAAAATACCGTAAAATGGTACAGTAATTGAGGCATATTTTTTTTTCTTGTTTGTAAACCAAATAGTGTAAGATAATTTATGAGTGATCTCTGAGGTCCAGTAATGTTTATTATAAAAAAAAAAAAAAAAGTAAAATAAAAATAAAATGGGAAATAGAATAGTCCTGGTTAAAAGGCATATAGATAAAAAGTCCAACTTGACTGAGGAACTTGGGTGTGATACGGATCTGTTTGTAGTAAATATTTTTAGTTTAGTATTTACGACAAACAGATTCATATCACACTGTATTTACGATATCACACCAAAGTTCCTCAGTTAAGTTGGACTTTTTATCTATATGCCTTTTAACCAGGACTATTCTATTCCCCATTTATAACTTTTGTAAGTAAGTATACTATTGGTTCTATATCATTATATTATTTTATTGTTTTTACTGTGGTGCGACCTAACTTATTTTTTTTTGTACTCTATTCTCTTTGATGGTCTGTGAGGGAAGTTCATACCCTTAGGTTGTGGACTACCTTCAATTTATCTTAGCTTCTAGCTGGCTAATAAGCGCTGATCCAACAACTGTTTGTCCAGTAATATTTATTACCTGACCTGATCAGATAGGCTGCAAGAGAGAGTTGTAAGAATAACACACCTGCAATGTATATTGTAAGTTCAAAGAACGGTCATTCACTTTCAAAGTTTGGAAGTGATTTGAAATGTTATTTTTGAGGCATGATGTATAAAACATTTCATGTTTTGTGATCTCACCAAGATGATATGATCTGGTTACAACATGTGTACATAAATATTTTACATTGTGCATTTCCTGCCAGGTTTGGAATACATTCATTGCCCCCTCATAAAAATGGGATTTCTACACCTTCCTGCTCCTCCTCAGCAGGGTCGGGCTACACCCTGAGATAAGCAAAAAAGTGGATATAATCCTACATGTATTTTTTTTTTTTTTTTTTTTACAAGGAACAATGAATCATGCTCACAGGGCAAGTGCAGTCTCAAACATTAAAATAGAACAGAATGAGCACTTCTGTGACTAATTCTAAACATATATGTGATATTGTATGCTTCACAAGGCTGGCAAAGTTCAAAGTACAGACCCATAAACTGGCGTAAGGAGCGTAAAACCTGGACCACTTAGTAGAGGAAACCGTAATATGGTCTGATGAGTCATCTCTTGACACTTGGATAAGTTTAAAATTTATATTACAACATTGGCTGTAAATTCAACCCCAAAAGGTCTCTTAAGTTTCTAAACAGAACTTCCAGTTACTTTTTACAGTTCCTTTAGTGTCAGTAAAATTCCAACCAGTAAAAGAAAAAAAACAGACCATATTTTGGCTCAATTGTCAACAGGGTGCAGTAAGTGGACACAAACAATTAACAAATGCAAATATGCTATTTTAGCATTAAAAAAAAAATAAAAAAAATACTGGAGCTGTCCCTGTTTAAACAGGAACGATCATACGTGAAGAATGCAATCTGCCCTACTTCTTTTAATACATAACTGTAACATTGGCAAGAATACATGAAAAGTATTAAAAAAAAATAATGAAATACATTTACATCTATTTTTTAAGTGCATGTTATATTAATATTATAAAAAGGTATTTTGCCTTCTATTTCTTTACATACATTTTAAATCGAGAAAAAAATCAGCATCTACTCACCCAAGGTGCAGATGGTACAATCAGTGTCATAGTGAGCAAATCCTGGCAGCATTCCTCTAAGGACTGGTTGCATCTTGTCAAATGATTTATTAACCTTGCATAAAAAACGGTCGGTAGTATGTGATGACTCGACTCCGGAGACTCTGGCCCAGGGGCTAAAATAAGGCTCAATGTTTGTCTTGTAGCATGCAGGTGTCTGAACAATGTGCTAAGTTTTCCTTCCAAAGCACTCTGTCAAAAGTAATAAGACACAAAGCATAAACATTGTTACAGATGCAATCTAATCATGCACGTACAAAGACTCTTTTTCTACTAAATGTGAGTTCAGTTTAGTGCCAGGTTAAGTAGAAATTTAATAGGGGCAAATGCATCCAGCATTTCCATTCATTATAAAAAGTTGCCATGCTTTAGTGTGCCATAGAATGTGTGTATAGAATGTTTGGGTCAATGACACCTTGTGTAGATCCCCATCATTGAGCATCTAGAAAAATACACCTATTCAAGCTCTGGATAACATTCTTGGCAATAAAAATAATGCTGTGTCAGTATTCCAGTTTGATAAAAAATAAAAATAAACCGCCATACATTTTGTGGCATGATCTGTGTTTCACATATGAAGAGATACACCAAAAAGCTACTGTAAGAGAGTCTTAGTCTACATATGGAATTTCTCTTGAATATTGAGAGATTTTGTTTGTATTTGTTCTGCTTATTTTCTTTTTGTTTTTCATCAATTGGAAGCATTTGTGTTTATAGTTCAATAAACAATTTATTAGTTGTCTGTGGTGTGCATATTTCATATCGGAAGGGTGGAGATTTTAAGGGCAAAATAGACCCCATAATATAACCTGCATTAGCCTTAAAGCGGCACTGTCATGCCGAATTCTGTTTTTTTTTTTAACCCCCCTCCCGCCTCCACTACATCCAATTGACCCACTAGTCACCCCCAAATGCCCCTAAGCCCCCCACATTACCTATTTTAAATCCTTATTTTCTGCCCCGATCTTGATTCAGGGCGCCGCCATCTTTGTGTGGGTAGGTGAAGTCCCTCAGGGACACGTCATCAGCCCACACTAGGCAGACACTGAGATTCCCGCACATGCCCAGTGAAACACCTGGACATGCGAACGGGAATTTCATCTATTCATTCATTCATCAGACAGACGAATGAGTGAATAGAAAGATCAGCCGAACAAACAAACACAATGTATCAGTGTTAGTTTGTTCGTGCAGGTTATTACAAGGAGGGAGCTACCGGCATGCAGCTCCCTCCTTGTAATATGTAACTATAGAAGCGGCAGGGAGCAGTGCTCCCCACCACTTCATAAGCCCCCCCAGGTCCCCCTCTCACTCTATGGGGGTCAATATGACCCCCATAATAGCACAAGGGAGATAAAAATCTCCCAAATGCCCCTACTCGCTATACCGCGAGTAGGGGCATGTCCACTAAACAGTGAGCAGCCTGTGGCTGCTCACTGTAAAAAAACAACAACAAAAAAAAACAACTATTGGCCCCCACCCCTAAACAGTGAGAATGAGGGGGGGGCAGTACTCCCCCCACCCCTGGGCGGCGGGTGGGGGCCATAATGAGAATGGGGGGGGGGACCTACTGTCCTACCCCCACCCCTGGGCGGGTAAATATAGTGAGAATGAGGGGGGGACAGTACTGCCCCCCCCGGCCCCCACCCCTGGGCGGCGGGTGGGGGCAATAATGAGAATGGGATGCCCACTGCCCGGCATGGGGGGGGGCCATAGTGAGAATGAAGGGGAGGAACCTACTGCCCCCCCCCCCCGCCCCCACCCCTGGGCGGCGGGTGGGGGCCATAATGAGAATGGGGGGGGACCTACTGCCCCCCCCCGGCCCCCACCCCTGGGCGGCGGGTGGGGGCCATAATGAGAATGGGGGGGGACCTACTATCCCCCCCCGGCCCCCAACCCTGGGCGGCGGGTGGGGGCCATGAAGATAATGAGGGGGG